GCAAATGGTCAGCAGAAAAGTGCAACTGCAAAGGCAAATGATAATCCAGCAAAGGTTGCAACACAATATTTTAGTGTCACAACAAAGGACTCCCTAATGAGAAAGGGGAAGATTTAGGAGAGAAAAGATACTAGATTATACTTAAAGTCTATTAAAAGTCTTTTGAATTTAGAAAACTTGAAAAACAAAAAAATATCCCAGGCATTATTTAATTGTTAGTTTAGTTGTGAGTAAAAAATATATTTTAATTTTAAATTTTTGTTATACCAGTTGACGTATTTCTAAAAAGAGAAACAATATGTAGACACATAAATAAAGCTACAAATTATTATATTTAAAATGCTATAATATTGTTTCTCTTCTTGAGAAGTCCATCAACTGGTATAACATAAATTTAAAACTAAAATTAATTGTTTACTTAACAATAAATTGTATCTTAAGACTGTGAGTATTACTTAATAAATTGATATTAAAGTGCGCCCCTAAGATATAGCATCTTATTTGCATTATATCATTTCAAATCTGTTGTTGATCTGCTTCACCTGGAATTTTTTTTTTAGGTCCACTGGAACTAAAATATAATCTTTTGGTCCTTCTTATCGCTTAATCTATCCTTTGATGGGCAGTGTCAAGTGACATCCTTTCGGCACTAGAAGTATGCAGGCAGCCTTTTCGCAACGCCTAGTTTTTGGGGCAGCGGCAAACAAGACATACGATGGCCCCCTTCTGCAATTACGGCCTCCGCCACTGGCCCCCCTTCCCCCTACCTCCCATTACCTCGGTAAGCCCAAGAAAACCCCCTCCCCCCTGTCGAGTGGTGGCCCATAACTTTTGTCAAGCATCGCGGCCATGTTGCAGCATGCCGCACAGCGAGGGTTGCACTCAGAAATGTTGCTGATGGTCAGCTGGGGAATGCACAAACGGACAAGAAGCGATACTAGTCGGAGGGGGGAGGGGGTTGGGAAACTCGGGGGAAAACTGCACTGTTAAATTCAGGGATAAATTCGATCACTCGAAAATGCAGCATACTTGTATGTTGGTCAAATAAGTTTATTTAAGAGCATAAGAAAATGTATAACAACTACTTTAAAAATTTCTTATAACAAAACAGCATTTAATTTGGAAGCTTTAAAATTAAATTGAATTTACAAAAATGTATTGTATCCTAAAAAAAAAAAGATTAACAAAACGTAAATTAAATAATTGAGATAGATATACAAAAATTTAAATTCTTACCTAAAAGCTTATCTTACTTTTTAAATGTCTTAAATTACGATTTAATTTTTTTACAATTCACTAAAAATACTTTAGCTCCCTTTTCCTTAGAGTGCACTTTTTGCTGACCGACTTGCTGACTTGACCAAGTTTTTTCTGGCTTCTGCTGGCCGCCTTTTTTTGCAGTCTCTGTCTGTTTTGGCGGATATGCGCTCTTAGCGAAAATTGCATTTGGCCAAATGAGTGGAGCGACCAAAGGAGGAAAAGCAAGAGTGGGTAGGAACCCCCAAGGAGTCGGGAACCAAAGAAAAAACCAAAGTCCAAGACGACTCTTAATATTTCATCTTTCATGCTCATTTGCACTTATGCGGAGACCCTTAGTGGAAAAAGGGGGGTGGAAAATAGGTGTAGGGGGTGGTATGTGGGTGGCCGGCGAACAATACCCAGGACCACACGGCGTGTAATCAAAAGAAAACGTTGCCGCTAGCCGATGTTCTTTTGGTACACTAGAAAAAAAATGTACATTCAACTCAAGGCATGTAAAAACTAATACAAATGAAGTATTCATTTAGAATATATTTCATTGATAGATAATATAAATTGGGATTAACGTTAAGCTTAAGTATGTAAAGTATGGTGTATTTGATTTTTTAAGTTTATTAATTTGCATGTGACCAGGATATTATCTTTTCGATTGAAAGTACGAGATACTTATATTGAAGAAAATTGGTTATGATTAAATAAAATTATGTAATGCAGTATATTATTATTATTATACCTTTATACCTTTTTCTGGTGCTAGTTATTTAAGTATCCAAAAACTGTTCTACGTTTCTTTTTATAAATTAAGTATCTTTTGGATAATCTCTCATATTAAAAAATTGTTAAGCACTATTTGATGTTATTTTTTTAGCTGTGCAATTCTTCGGCTGCTCCTTCTTCCCTTCCCTTCTCCCTTTCCGCCTCTCTCCCTGGTATTTTGCAGGGTTTTTCCCATTGACGACGTCTTCAGGAATTGGGGAGTTGGACGTTTCAGGTTGGACGTCGGACGTTAACCGTTGGATGAGGACGGCACCTGCTGCGAGTTATTTACAGCCACTGGAGGGCATTCCTTTCTTTCCTCGCTTTCTCCTCTTCCCTCCCCAATTTTTTTTCATTCTTTTTTATTTTCTACAGGAGCAGGAGCAGCTCGTCCTTGTACAGCTATTACACATTGCCGGAAGCATTTGAATGTGTTTATGTGTAAGCGTCTATCGCTCAAGTTGCCGACTGCCCTCTCTTTCTTCGCCCCTCTTGCCATCTCTTTCGCTTGCCCTCTACCCCTCTCTATCTTTTCTCCAGCTCCTTTTCATAACAGCAACTAAAATGTTTCCGTTATTAAGCTAAAGAAACACTTAACTTTGCGCCAGGATCAGCAAGGACGTCAGGTGCAATGAATAAAAGAAAGACAGAGAGGGTTGGAAAAGAAAGAAAGAAAGAGAGGGAAGAATGGGAGGCGCGGGTAAGAGGAGGTGCGAAAGAGAGGGGCATAGAGTTAAGGACTACGCGAATACACGAAACTTTTGAGGTGTTTAAAACGTTAATTTGCTTTAGATTTAACAGGAGTTTCTTTCCTCTCCCTCGCACCTCTGCGGGTGTACGAGTGTGTGTGTGTGTGAAAGTGATTTTCGCATTAACGCTTGCCACTTTGGCGGTTCAAGCCAACGGAGCACAAAAAACCACTCCTTCCCCCTTTTTTCCTCCTCATTTTTTCACCTTTGTTTGCTTGCCCAGAAACTAAATGCAACAAAAACACATAAAATTACTCACATGTAGTTAAAGCAGGTGAAAAACCAAACGAAAAGCAAACAATACTTTAAGGATTAAATGAAAACGAAAGAGTCTTTTAATACTCATTTTTACTAGGCTCATAAAAAGCTTATGGGATTTTCAAAAGCTTGTAAGATAAGTAAAGTATGTATTTGTATTTTCAAATGAATAAAAATTTAAGAACAAGCTATAAGAGATTATAAAAAAATGGCTTTGTAATTAAAACAATACAGATTTTTTCGTTACAAAATATCAAACATCAATTATCTAAATATCTAAATAAAAAAATTCTAGCATTCACAACTAAACAATTAAAAAAAAATATTTTGGCCGAAATTCGGAAAAATCAGCTTAATTTTTTGGTTTTTGAATCAAAATCCTGGGAAATAGTTATCGTATGTTGGAATATCATACCTCGTTGAATTCGATACAAAATTTCCAACAAAGTTGTATTCACAGAAAAAAAATGTCATATAAAAAATGTTTTCAATAAAAAGTCCCTAATGTCCCTTTTGAAAAATATTATTAAAAAGAAATGTTCGCACTTTAACGGTTAGAATTCCCGTTCCCTTGCTGCTATTACTGTTACTGTGTTACCACTTGACCACATACAGCCATTGGCTCTTTCTTTCGCACACTCACTCACTGCCCACTCCCTCCCTCATCCATGAAATCAACTTTCATAATTAAATGGCAAGTCCGAACTTTATATTCGCTGTCTCTGTCCTCCACCTTCCTCTCCTCTCCCCTTCACCCACTCTCGATCTTTCTCTCACTCTGCCACACTCACACACGTGCATGCATAAAACAATTTAACACTTAACGTGGCCAGGAGCTGGAAATAAAAAGCGCATAACTCATGCGAAGAAGTCGGCGGCGGCAGAGACGCAAGCAGCGGCGACGACGGTGCCATAAATTTCAAAAACAGCTACAAAACAGGAAGCAGCAGGCGGAGCAACAACAACAACATCTACAACAGGATCAGGGAGGAACAAGGAGCACCGGAAAAAAGCAGGAACAACTCGAGTGGAATGTACATCGGGATAGCTACACTCAAAAAACCAAAAGAAACAAATATAGGAAAATTGTGTATCTCTAAATAAATTTAGAAATAAAAAAAACCCTATTAATTTTAACTTATTTTAAGTTTTAACACAAAAAGTCTTATTTAATCATAATTCGTTTACAAATCACCCAAAACTTGTATATCTTTCAAGCTCTGGAAATAATGCCACAATTTTAATGATTTGAAATAAATTACATCTAATACAAAAATAAAAGTTTTCAGTAACTAACGAAGTTAATTAATTAGTGAAAAATATTTATTCAAAAGAAAAAAGCCAATAAAAAAATTGGTTAGGAATTATGTAAAATCTTTTGGCGTTAGAAAGAATTTATAAAAATTGCTTTCTAAATATATATTTCCCGAAATACAATAAATGCTTTGAAATGGAAATATATTTTTGTTTTAAGTGTAGTGAGAGGGGGCAGAAAAGATGGGAGGGGAAGGGCACGGCCGCAATGGACTGCAAAAATATTAACTACCTTTTAGCAAAAAGCGGGCCAAGCTGACGTCAAGTTTTGTAGAAAATTATGTTTTACAATGCGAAAATTGAATTTCAGTTTATTGTTTTCTACTGCTTGTTCTTGTTCGTCCTTTTTTTTCGCATTTTTCCTTTACGATTAACTGTTAAATGCAGCCGACTTTTCGTTGTTTTGTGGCTGCAAGTCAACGACTTTTCCACGTGTGTTTGCCTTTCTTGTTTTTTTATGCAATTTACAAGAACATGGCGAAAACTCTGCTGCCTGCCAAATTGAACGGAAATATTTACTACTAGGTTGGTAGTTGAAATTGAAAAATAGGACCCCATTGAGCTTCATATGCTTTTGAGACACTGACGGCATTTTTAAAAGATTGCCTTTTGGGCTACCCAATCCAGTAAAAATAAGAGAGCACACTTTTAGGCTGGGTTTATTTGTGGGCCCACATAACACTAACAAAACACTAGGAACTAATTCACACACATCGATCGCTCTCTCTCTCTTCTCGGCCGCTCTCGCGCTCTCTGCCGCCGCCGCCAGCTGTTCGTCCAGAGGCGCAGCACAAGGGGGTTCCCGCTGAGGTCAACCATCGACGCCCTTGCGCCGGACATTCGCCCCACCCCGCTCAGCCAATTCTTCTGACGCCTCTGCACATAGGGCTGCTGGGGGGCGGTGCGGAAGTAGAAGCTCCCCTGCGCACGCCTCTGCGAATGGATTCCGAAGCGCGCCTTCCGGTTGTCATCGCAATATCCGGCGGAGAACTCCCGATAACTGCCGCACTCGAGGCCCACGAACGGATACTCGGGATCCATCGACTGCCGGAAGAAAATCGCAGCCGCCGAGTGACTGCAGGCTATGGGATCTGCGAAAGAATAGGAGAGCATAATTTTAAGGAATTATCATTATTTTTTTAGCAGATTCTTGCCTTAATTTTACCTCCACAAGAACAACTCTTCATGAAATAAAATGCCTAAAGATAAAAAGTTTGCTATACTTCAGATTAAGAACTATAAAGATAAGTAAGATAATATAATTGTCTTGCAATTGTTTCAATGACCACTCACTAGTCTACTGACATATTCTTTGACCTATGTAGTATATGCATACCCTATTCCTTTTAAAAGGCAATATATAAACTAACTAGAACTTCCTGTGAATGTATTGTAATGTTCCTTGAGATTTCTAATAATTACTATAGATTTCTTGAGATAAAATATTTTTACTCATTCATATAAGCGAAACATTCCTGGGGCTGAATAAATCGTTTTCAAGTTACTCACTGGTATTCTGCATATCCCGCAGATTGGCGAACATCTTGCAGTTCGTCTGGGGGGCCCGGCCTCCATTGGGGTAAAAATCGGCATGTCCGCACTTCAGACTCGTTCCCAAGGAACCCCCCGATGTGTGGAGCACCTGGACGAACTGGGCATCGCCTGGATCCAGGCGGTACTTGGGCGACACCTCGGCGGGCAGCGAGAAGAGGGGTCCGGCGGGATCCAGCCCAATGATCTGCTCCACCTGGCCCTCCAGCACCGCCCCCGCATATCCGGCGGCATGGGCCCCCAGACTGTATCCCGCCAAGGTCACGTTGCTCCGATGGAAGTGAGTGGGTCGCAGTTCCTCCAGGGCCATTATAATCCCCGCCACCGTTAGGCCCACATCGAAAATGGACATGGATGCGGTCTTGTAATCATTCTGCGACAGATTTCCCCAGTCCACAACACACACATTATAGTTGGAGTCGAAAAGTGTCCAAGCTGGGTATAAGAAAATAGGAATTGTATCAAAATATTTATGATGATATTAAAAGATTATATAACTTAATGAGACAAGAAGCACAAGTTTACGAGAATTTAAATCTAAAGTATCCAAAAGCATAAACATTATATTTTAAGAAAATAAATACGATAAAACAACAATTTAATTAATCAGGTATAAATAAAGTTAGATCCAGTAAATAAGTGCCTTTCTTTCAATAGAGAATATTACTTACTCAGTAATAGTTCTTGCACCCAGTCCTTACTTCCTTGATCATTCCATCCATGCAAAAACAGAGCCAACTTTTTCTTAGGATCCAGCCGACGAAATCCTCGAAGATCGCCCAGTTGCAGATTGAAATGCACTTCGTTGCCAAAATCCTTAGCTGATCTGAAATATATATATATATATACATTGTTATAACTAAATTGTAATCCACCTTTAATTTAGTAGATCTCTTATCAAAAACTATGATTTGTATCTTATAAGAATAAAATTCATCACAATGCTAAAATATCATTAACAACTTTAATCATCTTCTGTCATAATGACAACGCAACTTTGGAGTCCACTCACATGGTGCGACACTCGAAGACAATCCCGTGATTCAGATGGGCCCGCTCCAGACTGTTCCGGAGCATCGTCTCCTGGAGATACCGGAAGGCCTTCATCATGGGACTCCAGCGGTGGAGAGCCTCGATCCTCGGCACATCGCCGATCAGACAGAGCAGGCAGCCAAGGAGCAGCAGGTGAGTCACGTGACCGGGCATGCGGTCAAACGGTCATGCACCACCGATAATCACACGGAGAACCACACTCACTGTCGCCACCACCAGAAAAAAAATAATATTGGTCTCGAAGACACCGCGAGATCGAAGGGGGAAGAAATGGGGGAGGGATCTTCTGAATTCGGAAGACAGCACGCTTTCTGGACCGCTTGGTTTGCCCCGTGGCTGGCTACTGAAGAACCCGACTCGCTTGTAACTCCAACAGACCCGTGAAGACGATGATCATCATGCGGCTGATGATCGTGATGCAGACATGCACTGGGGAAAATCTCGGGCAAACAAAATATACATATATTTTATGTAATACCAACAGACCCTTTGTAATGGTAGTTTTTACACAACTGATTTAACAGGTGTCATCTTCTTTGTTAATATATCTATAGAAAATAAAATATGAAATTAAAACAATATAATGCTGTTTAAAAACCAATAACCAATCCAATATTTCTTACCAAATCAATTAAAATAACTTTGGGACTTAGCTTAGAGTTCAAACCTAGATTTGACTAAGATTTTCGGACAGTGTAGCTGATGCTGCTGACCCTGCTCTCCAGCAGCTCTCAACATCTCCGGCGTTCTTGGCCGCGTGTTTGCACAAGTGAAAGTACAAAAAGCTTGTAACGACTTTTCGACTTCGATTTCGATTTCTTTCGGCCGGGAATTCGGCTTTGGCTTTTCGGTATTCGGTATTCGGTTTCAAATATTTGATATTCGGTACTCGGCACTCCACTGATCTTGACATAGAAGCCAACAAACGGTAGCCACGAATTTCTGACTTGTCATGGCTGTTGTTTATAGTTTATAGTCTATAGTTTACTTTGGCAGCTGAGCAAACCGTACAGAACCGAAATCGATAATAAAACCGAAAAGACAAGGCGACTCATTCAGGTCTCATCTCGGATCAAATAGGTTTATTTTAGTGCAGTCATAAACTTCAGAGGGAGTCGATCTGGGGACACGCTTTCTCGATGCAGTGAGAGAAAGGGCTGGCCAAAACTTACATGTGTTTTACAGCATTGTTTACAAAGCGAAAACAAAACCTTGATTACAAAAAAAAAATCTAAAAAAATAGCTAGAGATTCTCACGGTATTTAACTTCTTCAATTAAAAGTGACAACTGCATTAGGAATATTTAAATGTATTATAATTCCTTTTAAAAAATAAAACCGATTTTATACACATTTTTTTAACCCATTTATAAACTTATAGGTCTACACATTACAGCATTTAAATGTAAAATATATTTGACCAAACCAATACATTTATAAGCCTTAAATTTTTGACAGTGCCTTTTTACACAAATGGCAGAGAACTTACAAACTTTGACCCAAAATTCTGTTTTTATGTCGCGCTCATAAAATATGTTTGGCTTACAAGAGATAAGCCATAAAATAATACCGCCTATTCCCCGCTTTTTTGGCCGAGCTTTCTAACCAATATGTGTTAAACGAAAGCAAAGAGAGAAAAACGCTAATGATGCGCAAGTAAAGTGCCAAACGAATTTCGTTGTCTTCGCCCATTGTTTTTCACAAATTGTATTTTGGGAGAGCCACAAAGCTTCGGATCGTCTTCTATTTCTATTTCCCTTCTTTCTTCTGGCTTTGTTTTGGCGATTTCTGCTTTTGGCAGTAGATCAATTTGCATATCTATCTGTATCTTCGTTGGGCTGTCCACCTGTATTTCTGCCGTCTATTTCTGTTTATCTGGCCTCAATGTCAACTTTATGTTCAACACTATCAATCCGGCCGAAAACAAAGAAGAATTTAAGAGGGCGAAGAAAGACGGAAAAGACGTGCAGATTGGAATGTATCTCAAAGTTTGGGGAATGGATGATAAATGCTTGGAATGGAAGCTCGACAAAGATCGATTGTAAAATGTTCGAGAAAAGAAAAGAACTTTGTAGATTTGACAAATTAGCTTTAATTGCATCTTGTGTTCAAAAGATTTGTTTGATAAGCATGATTTTGGGGAGTTTCTTATAGATCTATTGATTTTATAGGCATGTTTTGAAAATTTCATAACAAATTTAAACAATACATTATTTGTCCAAATATAGTAATAGTAGATTAGAACAAAAATTATCAGAAAAGGGGAATAAAAGGAATCTAAGTACACTTAATAATAAATTTATATATATATGTTGAAAATTTATTTATTTTATTCTTTTACAAACATTTGATCTAATCTCACTAAGTTTAAGCCAATGAATTTAATTTCATTCTTAGGAAAGTGGGACACTCGCTTATTCCGATTTAATATTCATGAATGATTAAAAGTTATTTCCCCATTCCCAAAATTCTCGCCCCTTCGCTGAATTTTCCCAGCCATTTTCTTCGAGTTTCCTTTCATGCACTTTGGAGTTTTGCCCGCCATTGTTTGGGCCATTTTCTTCATGTGTCTCTATCATTAAGGCAGAGTGCGGCTTAATTGTTGCCACAGACAATGACTGGATTGTTGAGAGCGGGACTAAAGGGGCTGGGTGTCCTAGCCCCCAATAACCCCCCTTTGCCCACAAGTGCGTTGCCTATTAAGCAGCATCATAATAATATTGTGTAACAACAAGAGCAACAACAGCAGCTGCTGGCAATAACTTTTGCATATATATATATATATATATTTGTACATATCTATGTGTGTGTCTGGCTTATGTGTGAGTGTTTGGGGACGCATTCAAAGCAATTTCCACAATTTTCGTATTGTTTACTTAATTAATTCTGCACAAAGATTTTCATTTGCAACTGTGTGTGAGTATGTGGCTCTCGCAGATGTTTTGTGGTTATTACAGCAAACCAACAACACTCGTTCAACAGCCCTCCCCCTCCCCTCCCCTCCCCACCCATCATCCAATACCCATTCGAGCAGACAAAACGCGTAATGAGTTTATAACATTTAATGAATCCACAGCCACAGCCGCAGCACAATGCGGCGTATGCGTAATGCGACCAAAAATTTCAGCGAGGCGACAGCTTAAAGGCTCCTTAAAGTATGCAACAAGTCGCAGACGAGTGCGGATAATTACGGGGTATTTCCCTGGATTTTAATTAGATTAAATGTATAACACACTTAGTTGCAAATTACCATTGGGTACCAAGTGCTTAACAGTTCGTTGTTCATGAGAGGAAAACTAAAGTTTAAAACTAAAGTTTTAAAATTATAAATTAAATCCATATGTTAAGTAATGGATCTTAAAGTGTAAATCCGATAAAAATTTATAGTAATGAATAATCTGCAGAAATTATGAACATAATTACCTGTAAATATTGCAGATAAGAGCAGTTTAAATTGTAGTTTAAAATGGCAACGCATTTAAAGTTACAGAGAGCTCTTAAACATTTTGATAAGCAATTTTGTATGACGACTGTTCCACTTTCGCAGGGACACGCCCCCATGAACGCCCCTTTTCCGCGTTCTCAGGCATAAAATAAAGCGAGTTCAGAGCTCTCGGTGTTCACATGTCAGTGGAAGTGGAGTTTGGCTCCTGTTTTCCTATTTACCCGCCTCAATTTTCAGTCTTTAGGGGGCGGTGGGTGTGGCAGCAGCATTGACTTTCGATTTGTTGTTGTTATCTTCCACGAAGGGAAACTATTTTACCGCTCAATTGATTTTGCAATTTATTTGCGCGCATTATGCGAAGGGGGAAAGGGAGGAGAGTGGGGGTGGGGGTGTCTATATACCCGACAGGATAGATGTTGATACTCACACGTGTCCTGGGCCTTGAAAACGGAGCAAGAAGCAAAGGATATTGTTGGCATTTTCAATTCTATTTACTCCCAATAATCATCATCAATGTCAGTTTCGCTAGCACTAAAATGAAAATAAAAACAAGCCAGGCAAACAATTTTTGTTTTCCTTTCAAGTACTCGATACTCTATAGTTGACTAGCTCGCAGGAGCAACAACAACAAAACGTCAACAGGATCATTGCCAGAAGCCGACAGCAACAACAATGAAGCCCAGAAAGAGACAGCAGGCGGGTTAAAGAAAGAGACGGGGGCTAAACGACGAAACGCATTGAGAGTTGATGTTTATATCGATTGCTGGCAATTTCGTGAATTACAACAGACAAGCACTACTGGCGCATGAAGGAGACGGGGATATGGTCGAAAGAGAGGGGTATATATGGCGAAAAAGAGAGGGGGCTAGAGCGTGAAAGAGAGGCACTCACTGGGGGACACACTTGAGACACGTCGTCAGCGACGTGAGCATGTTGCAGTAGTTTTTTTTACCGCCCTTGTTGCTCCTGTCGTTTTTTTTACAGTGGCCGTTATAAACACAATAAGAAAATGTTTTAACTTATGCTTTGATAAATAATAACAAAATAATATTTAAAGTTTTGTTTATCTATATTACAAAATAAAATGAAAATTGAATTATTATTCGAAAAACCTATACACCTACTTTAGTAATACCCATAACAAAATAAAAAACCCTAAGATTTTTGCTAATTTTGAGTTTTTTATTACGTAAAATACAGTCATAATGCTTGTAGAAAAATAATATGGAATCTGTATAAAATAGTAAGTCTTTTTTGTATCCCTTTTTTTGTCCGTGTAATTGTTGTTGTCGCTGTGTTGCCATGTCGCTGGCGTTTGTTGAATTGCTGGAGTGGCGGCGGCTTGGAGGACAAGTAGTGTCGGGGTCACCAATTCAGCAGTCACCAGTCGCAGCAGTTCCCCTCCCTTTTTGCCGTTAGCAGCAACGACACTGTCACACACACAATCGCACTGAGAAGTCATGAAAGACAACGTAGCGGGACGGTAATCACAATATTTCAAAGTTCAGGCGACAAAACTTAAGAGTTTAATAGGGAAATTATAAATCAAAAAATATTAACTTAAACATATTATTGTTAAACTTTATTATATTGGATTAACATATCCTTTTCCTGTTATTGTTACTAATTTAAAAAAGCCATATTTGAATATTTTGCGCTTAAATCCAGATTCAGATTCAAAAACATAAACTTCTCATAAAGCTTTTGTATAACGTTGTATATTTACTTATCATTACTTTATGAAACTAATAATTTTCGAATTGTTTTTTACAGTTTGTTCGCCTGTTGTGAAATTCCGCTGCCTGATGCCTTGATACTTGACTCTGCTCTAGTTCCTCCGTTCCTCTTCTCCTCCTTTATCTTTATCCCCCCTCTCGTTTC